AGATACCCTAGAACTGATATACAAATAGTGGAAACAATTTACATTTTGATCAGATTGAGCAATATGTATCAAACTATCATCATTACACCACACAAATCATTTAGAACTTACGCTACTGACTAAATGAATTGAAACTCCAAAGTAAAAAAAAAACATGATTTTATAAACATCTCTCCATCGAGGGCAAAGGTCTGCGAGTCGCAGTCCGTCTCCATGGCAATCGAAGTTCGAACATCGAAGCTATTGTAGAATGATATCTATGAGCAAATATAAAGCATCAACTTTTACTAGGCTGCTTGGAAAATAAAATAGCCAGCAGCAGATGTTATAATACCAAGCACTCCACCAGCAAAAACCTGTAATTTAGATGGAAGGTTGAAAATTATAAGTGGCTATCTCAGATGAAGTTGCTCGTAGCACCCGATGTTACCATAAGCAATACCGGAGATCATTGCAGTTTCGAATCCGTATGTAGATCGACATCAGTGTTAAAAAGATAACCCAGATTTATGTAGCCATTGATTACAACATTTGAAACATCTATTGCTCAGAATAAAAACAAGGCTTAGGACCACAACATCTGAGAAGCTTAAACTAAAGGATGTTCAAGAACAAGAGTGTGGATCGAGTAATTATTGTTGGTAATCTGCCACGAAAACGTACCTGGGGAGGGGTGTGACCGATAAGTTCACGTAACGGCCTGGTCTCGGCCAGAGGATGTTCAGCAGGCAATTCATAAACAATTTGATTCAGGAGCTGAAGAACATACAATTTGTCAATGGATACAAGAAAGAAATCAAGTTTAAACCAACTGCTTATGCATCCCATTTCGTAATGAGAGAATGCAGTTCATAACTAAAGCTTCTATAACATCCAATTACTCAGAATCAAACCTCTGCCTGCCTTCCAGCGTGTAATCTCACACCAGTTGCATCAAACATTACCTGCAAATCAAATCCTTCCAATCAAAACTCAATCTTCGAAGCAGGCGGTATCGGTGACACGAGAAACACATTCATTGATTGAAAGATCATTAGCCATGTTGCATTTTTCTCAAGTACTAGAAATCGATATCTGGCGGAAACCAAGATTAGCACCAGCAGGGACAAAGAAAGCAATATCTAAGAATCATGCCAGACTCTCATTCAATGTTGTTTATAAGGCAACCATAAAACAAGAAACAAAGGATCATACGATGCATGCTAAGATCGATGCAGTTGCAAATAGTGATCCTCCGAAACCGTCTTGGAATCCGATGGCAGTAGCAAGAGCAGTGACCGTTGAAGAATGGGACGAAGGCATCCCACCGGATCCCACAAGTTGGCTGATATCCCATCGCTTTTCCTTGTACCTGCAAAATGGTTATGTGTACTTAGATTTTCTTCCCGTCTCGTAACGAAAATCTAGCCATTGGGTGATGAAAATAATGCAAATGAAGGCATTAAAACTCAACAAAGATATCATTACAAAACAGGAATTGAATCAAGCTAGAGCTGACCTGAATTACAACTTGAATAATCAAAGACCACCAGGACTCAAGAACATAATGTCCACACTAGACATATTTGGTAAATGTAATCACTAATCAACCAGCTATTATCTAAGGCACCTTTTATTCCATCAATGAAGAAAACGGCAATTACCCAATTAAAAGCTCTAGGCAACAAGTTGATTGAAAGTAGATGACATTTGATGAACTATTCGAAAATCGTTTGAATAACATTCGTTTATTAAATTAATTAAATAAATGAGTATGACAAAAGTGTGTTCAGTTCGTTTATGTTCACGAACAAAAGTGTATTCAGATCGTTTATGTTCATGAACAAAGCATCTATAAGCTTGTCTACAGATTCGTTTACCCAATTCTCCTTTTACTTTTATATTTTTTTATATTTTAAATAATTATCGAGATAGTAACTAAATTGAACAGAAAGTGAATTTTGATTTCAATCTGTGAAGTATAAAGAGCTCAAGGACTAGTGGGGTAATTTCATCATTTCTGAACATATAAACCAACAAATATAAACATGATATTAAAAATCGAACGTCAACCGAACATGAATACCTTAAAAAAATAAAATGAACACAAATACAAACTTATTGCCCAAGTCGATTTATTTACCCTCCTAATAAAATACACATAACATGCAGTGAAATGATTCTCAGATGTTATTAAAGAAACAAAACAACAGTTTAAGATTGATGGAAGCTAAAACAACAGGAGATTTGGAGATACCAGGAGGTGAAGAACTTCATAGATTGGGCAATAGCAAAGGCAATAAAAGCACAATAAGAGGGAAATTTGTGAAAACACAGGAAGAAGTCATTGAAGAAGAGAATGATGTGTGCCCTGCTCCTCGATATTCTCTTTCCTTCTTATCGAACTGCTGCTATACTGGAAACCTTTATCGATGGAACAACAAAGGAGATGAAAGGCCCGAAATTCAGAAAGAAGAGAACAAATGGGCAAATACCAAAGTGGATATTGGGAAGGGAATATGAGAATGAAGATGAGCGGATTGGGAGGCGAGCTTGACGGATCCTTTGAAAAGCAGGAAATAGAGAGAAACAAAGGGGATTGCTTTGCGTTGCTTTAAATGAACTAAGATTAGAGGGCAAAGAGCAATGGCCATATCATATTTGTTTGTCAAATACAAACCAAAAAAACGAACGGTCTTCGCCTTCTGCAATGTTCCCACTGAATATGCCACTTGGCGGTCCTAATCAATGTCTCGAATATACCCCCAGTCACTGTCTCCTCCCAAAATAAGTACACTTATTTCTTGCACGTTAAATAATTTAATGTATATTTTATAGTCTAAAATCGAATCAAAATTGTTATTTTTTTAATATAAAACAAAAATTGAAAAATATGTTCCTACCAAATTAAAAATTAATAAATTTAAAATTTAATCTTCATAAGAAAACTTTTAAGTTGGCAACGGAACATTACTTTTTAGAGGTTTTAGATTCGAATAACAGTATTTATGGAACGTATACGTTGTCAATAAATTAAAAATTTTTGAATAAATATTATCTTATAATTACCTTATACTATTAAAAAAATATAAGATGTGATTTGGCAATAATAGTGAACTCATTTAATTATTACTATATTAAATTAGGAATAAATATTTAATTAAATTGAATCAAATAAAAATATTTAAACTAGCTAAATCTCCAATTAATATTTTATCATTTACTTTTTAAAAAATTTAGTCGAGCCAATATTATAAAATTTGAATCAAGTCAAATCAATTATATTTATTCTATTTTTTCTAAATTTAAATATATTTATAATTTTATGATACTGATTGATTTTAATTTAAATAATTCTGAAAAATCATATATATATATATAATATGATTTATTTTTAATATTCTTTTTCTAACGTATAAAACTGTAAATAAGATATATAATATTATTTAATAAATTAAAATCATCTAAAATTATATAATATATTTATCATTTTAATTTCTAAAAAAAGAATTTTGAGAATAAATTATTTACGATAATATAAAAAAAATGAAGAATTGATAAGAAAGAAAAATAGTTGGAGAATCAAATTGAATAAAATTTAAAATTTAAAACAAAATTCTAAAAGTAAAAAATTTCTTGTACAGAAATTAAAAATACGTTATTAAGTGGTTTGAGAGTATAAAGTTCAAATTTAATAAAAAGAATAAAATTGAAATTAAAAATGAAATGAAAAACAAAGAAATAAAAAATTTCAACCGTAAAAAATTAAATTATTTAATTAAAGATAAAAATAATATTTTAATATTTATTTCGGTTGTCAAACATTGTAAATTTAAACTCGATTTGGACTCAAAATCCAACAAAAAGATTCAAGCTGGCTTGAATAATTCACAACTGGACTTGAAAGCTGATGATTTTCACTTGGCCCCATCGACAACTCGGATTACACGGAGACAAAGTACACATATGACCAAATATATAAAATCCATCGTCCCTTGATGAAAATCAAATAATTGAGTGAGCAACCCCAATCGCCTGCTTGGACAAACGCGATCGGATTTTTCCAATCATTTTTCCAACCAAAAACGATAATGTCGATGAATGCTAATGCCAGTGTGTAAAAAATAAACTTTAAGGACGAAAACAGATTATCAATACACAATACAAAGAAATATTTAAATCATATGAGAATTTAAAATTTTCAAAGGTGACCGCCTCATCAGCCCCTCTTGATCCATCCTGGTTAGTGGTTACCTAGAGCCAGGAAATATATAATGTGAAAAAAAAACCCTACTCTCAACTTTCAGACGACTCTTTACCTTATGACATATATGAAGGCTGCAGAAAAGAAAAAAAAAATACAGGAAATCTCAAGTTTCAAGCTAAAAATAATTTCTTTGGACATCAGGTGTTAAGATCAGCTCAAGATGTTCAACTGAATTGCTACAATGGTGTTGGGTCCCCCACACTTCCCATATAATAAAACCAATGAATTTAATGCCATGCCATGCCATGCCATGCCTCTTAGACAAAAACTTCCTCTGCAAAAAAGGATGAAAAATTGAAAAGTTGTAGAACTACCAGACAAGACATGGCACCCTCGATTTTGAGAATAAAAGTTTGTATTGGTTGAATAAATCTCAACTTTAAACCCACTTACGGAAAAAGGACACGTAAAAAGCTCTATTATTACAGTAACTTGTACAAAAGAATGAAACAGATGACAAATCCAGAATGAAAACTTAAAAAGAAAAGCATTAGCATGAACAGAAATGGCACATCATTTATATCATATTATCATAAGTCCCCTCTTTCATCTATCTTGTCTACATTCATCTTAACTTTCATGAGGCCAAGGACGAAGAATTTGTACGTACCTGTTGTGTTGCGACTCAAAATCCTCTTATGCATGGAAACTCTGTGCAGGGGTGTCTGCGTCAAACACAGCGCATATGTCTCAATACCTGTTGCCAAGGAGATGGAGGAGAAGCTAACCAAATTGAGCTGATGTTATTTTTCAATAGTCATGATAATTGAATATGAATGAGGGGGTAGGGTATTAATTCACGATTTCTCCAACAAAGAACAGGACTCAAAACAAACACTGATAACTAACAACAAATCTGGTGATGGGGCAAAAACACAAATGCCCCCACCCCACACTGCCTATACTAATATCAACCTAAAGAACTTTACAATTTATGTCACCACCAGCAACCGGTGGCATTTCTTACAAATAAATTTGGAACCAGACAACCCATTGCCAATATATTTAACCACAAAATGAATTTAAAATCCAAAGCACTTGCCAATCCCTCCAAATAAGATTGGAGTAGCAAAGTCAAAAGGAGGCTGGTGAAGCGCTGCGTGTTTGGTCTGATTGAAAGGCTTGCTCTCACATTATAAAGCAGTTACACTTAGATTCTAGCTTTGGAGGGTTCATACTGTCCATCTTATCAGGAATATCAACATTATGATTAGAAGATTCATAGGCATTTTCATCATTAACAGTCTTGGTAGGCACGGATTTTACATCAGTTTCTACCCGCCTCTGCCTGACTTTATTAGATTTTGAAGTCCATCTACCAACAGTTCGGCCCGGTAGATCTTTCCTGTCAGAAGTGGATTTCCCCAAGATCGTCACAGTTGGCCTGGAACATTCCAATGGCACAGAACTTTCCCTTTCAATGGCAATGGTAGCTGCCTCGTAGGCAAGATCATGGATGATGGAACTACAGAAAAGTATTGTGTCTGTTGCTTCTTCAAGTGTCAGGCTTCTGGCCTTACTTCCTCCACGACATTCTACCAAGACAGTTGATTCCTCTGTCAAATAGCAAAAAAATCCATCAAGGCTAAACAAAATCTCACTGCAACTCGGTAACAAATCAGAATTGAACTTCAGCAAAGAATCACATGGTATGCAGCTTTGAGTACTAAATTCTAAAAGGCATTGACATCAAGAAACTGAAAAAATAAACCTTATCCAATCAACAAACTGAGGAATATCATTTTTAACAGACACAAGGTTAAATCCATCACTTCTTATGTATGAAAAAGAGTTAAGATAATTGTAAATAAAATTAGTTTGTCGCTCCAAATATTGAGAAAAAACAGCATGGTGGTAAATGGAATTTAACATGATACCAGCACAGGTATGTATGGGCATGATTCATTGCAAAGCAAGCATTAATCTCCAATATTTGAAGTTAAAGCACTCCTAAGAAGAAAACACTACAAATAAAAGGGTCAATCAGGCCATTTAATACGAGGATAATGTCAATGAAAACATCACAGCAGCATGCTGGTACCTTTTGGTCCAATGATATTTGATATACCTTTCCCTACGCCAGAGATCAATTGTACTAGAGTGATCTAAAAAGTTGTGCTTGTCAGTACATGCCAGTACACTGTTTAGACTGTGCTTGTCTACCCCTTTTTGACCTTTTTGTGAAGAGTGGTTAGGAGGAAGAAATACCCGACTTTTATGACCATGATTAAATGATAAAAATGACTTGGGGAATAATGGCAACGTTCACTAAAAAAAATATTGGCAATAGCTGCCATATAAAGCAATTATCTGAAGAGCACGAATTGGCAACACATCAATGGGGATAATCTAAAATTCAAACAACTCTTATCTCTTATTGAAGCCTCAAAAGTTCATTCAAAACAAAAAGGCAATCCTCATATCCATTATCAGAGCAGTAATTGCCTTATCCACAGCTTTCCAAGAATTGGTAAGTAATCGGCTGCTGAAAATTGGTGTAGGAAAGCATTGTGAAGGTTGTGACTGAACTTAAACCATGTAACTTAACAGATTTGAAACTAGTATAACAGACAAACCATGTGCTTACCAAGAGTACAACTTTTTTTTTTTTAATAGAACCAAGAGTACAACTTTTATTAGAAAGATCAAAATGATCAAAATAATATGGCAGTTCACTTATTCATGATTAACTTTTGACCATTTTTAAGCCAACCTAAATGTACAATGTTAAAATTGCACCTGCTAAAAGAAAAGTGGTAAATTTGATCACAGACCTGGGTATAATTACAAACTTGAACCTCAGCCCCAAAAGGAAAAGAGAAAAAGGGTCAATCATGATGGGTAATCCATGAAGGATTACAAGTAACTCTTACGGTTGCTACTTACTGCTCTTATAAATAGAACTTCAAGCAAGTAACAATGGTTGAAGAAAGAATAATCTGACTTTCAAAATGACTAGCATGGATAGTTCATGAAGGATTAAACATGCTGCGTCCTAAAATTGTTTACGGTATATGGTAATGGCCATATCAAAAATCTTCTCAAGAATGGAAGTAAATTTTAACTTCAAGTTGAAAGTACAAAGTAGATGGAAAGCCGCAATGAAATAATTAAATACCTAAAACACCAACTGTGTGATCTGACGAATCATGCTCCTCAACAGAAGCAGTAATATCCACATCTAAAGGTATAGCATCAGACAGATCCATGGATCTCTTCTTTTTCCTCTCAGAATTTGGAGACAAGCCATCAAGTTCTGAACTGTAGGAACTCCGGCAGGATTTGTCAATTTCTATTTCTGAGATTGTAGTCAAACAGGTGTGACCAGCACCCTCAACAGCATCTACTCCATCAGGAATATCATTTTGCATACCATGTTCTTCAAGAGTAGGATCTAGAGTGGCAGGTAATGCTTCAACACTTGAGGCTATCCTGGCATTACTTGAAAAGTTGTCTCCGTTTTCATATGAAACACCATCATCATTGAGAGGAAATGGTGCTGCTGAATTGTCCTCTAATGACTCAGAGGTTAAAGTATCGATTACTCTGCTACTTCCATTCCACTCAATACTATCAGTTTTGGAAATTGCAGCAGCATTGGAAATTGCAGCAGCAGGGAATGATGAATCTACCTCTGAATTTTCGGAAGCTTTGGCTTGAGAAACAACAGCTATTTCCTCTGCTTCCTCAAATTTCAGACTACGAACAGAACTCTCAAAGTTTTCATCATTTGTGCTAGATGCAAGACTTAATGCTTGGTAATTATTGCTTGAACTTTGAGACAAAGTAAAGCTTTGTGGCTTCGCATTCAAGCCATATCTGTAATTCTCCAACTCAGATTTTCTAGCATTCAATTGTACACATGTATCAGTTTGTCTAGATGAGAATTCGACAGAGGATGATACAGAGACACTCCCATGTCCAAAAGAGCTTCTGAAACTGTTATAACTGTCTCTTGCATAAGAAAGATCTTCTGATGGTATGGTAGAAAAGGTCCTACCTAAAACAACAGGCCCCTTGCTACTGCCTGACCTCTTTAACAGCACTGAAATACCTACAACTTCTGATGTATTAACCTTCAAACCAGAATGTTCATCAGAGTAATGCAACTGCTGACCTCCAGTGTCCCTATCAGATATAGAATAACCAACAGCTGGTTCAGCCATCTCTTGCTGATAACCAAGCCTCTGCTCACCTCCCTCCGCCAGAGAACCTCCAAGAGAATTTTCTTGAGAGAAATTTTCACTTTGCTTGATAGTTTTCTCATGATGAGAAATCCATGGTTCAACTGCATCAATAACTTGCAACGGTGAATCAGATGGATGAATTGAGATCTCCAAATCAGGAATGGGTTTGTCCTCTCCAGAAACCTTCATAAGCAACCCTGGGTAATTCTTTGCATCAGAAACGTCACCAGCAACTATATCATGCTGCCTAGTGCAATCTGTGCAAAGACTGGTTTCTTCTTCAACCTGCTCAATAACACGATACCTGCTATAACAATTAGAACAAATTTTTGTATTTTCAAAACTATCAACTTCTGAAAGATCTCCCCTTTCACACAAAGCATCATAATTTGAAGTAATTTCAACTTCAAGACCATGATGACTAAACTCCCCAGAGTGGTCGGGGTCACATTGGATTTTAGAGTCTCTATCAGCTTCTTCAATGAGAATATTAAGTGAATCATTACGTGTTTCATAGCTAGCATCCTGGTTTACTGCATCCATCTTATCAAAGGCAAAACCCTCTTCTAGAACATTGGCAAAAGGTCCCCTACCGGATTCACTTGCCCCGTCATCATGTTGATTACTTCCTTCAGTATTGAGCACAGCACTTGAACCTTGATGACAATTCGCATTACTGCTGGTAGTAACAGATGAATTCTTTGACATTAAAGAACCATGTGCAGAACTGCCCTTCCCAACATAAAATGTGGTACTTGGAACGCTAGATAATAGAGGTCTGAACATATTTGGAGGACTCTTCCGATAAGCCTGCATCAAAATATTGATTACAATAAACTATAGGGTTTGTGTTTATGACCAAGCACACTTGATTTGCATTACTTATGCACGAAAAAAGTCTAATTGGGAGCAAGTAAATGCATGAGAGGTAACAACACACCACATGAATTCTTTCACAATTATCATAAATTTCTTTTTGCTTAGTAAAGATATTGACCATGCAGATTGCATTGAAGTTCTTGAGTTATTTAACACATTAAAACACATCAAAAGAAAGATAATTACTCCGAAAGTTTACTCAAATACAGAATGTAACTCATAGAACGCACTAATTAAACAGGAAGTTCTGGAGTTTTTACTCGCTTTCCCCTTTTAGACATACCAGATTAAATTACGCACTGAAATTTTCAATGGCCACTGCCAAAAACTTCATCCAGCAATTAATTCTAACTCTAACACACAATGCTTACTAACTAATAGGATCACATAAACCCATCAATTTAAACTATACCATCAAGTTTGCCACCTCTAGATATACGGCATTATTGGAACATGATGCAGGATTTTGAGAATACTCTACCAAGAGAACACAGTTTCACATTCCAACGAAAATGAAATTATTTTATGTTGACCTTCCGTATCTCTTCTCCATTATTAGATAGTCTAAATCTATACTGTACTAGTAAAACAAACAGGGACAAGAACAGTCTTCTGTTGCAAGCCATTCAGAAAGGAATTAAATAAACTAGGAGCAACTAAAGCAAGGTAGGTTCAGAACGTTAGAGCAGAAAACTAACTACTTATATTTCAACACTTGTATATGGACCTAAATTGATGTAACAGATGCATATTAACCTAAAAAAGTAATAAAATACCATTTGACGAAGAGCAGAGTCAAAGGAACGTTTTGGAGCAGAACTTGGTGATAACACTCTAGCTGATTTCTTGTTGAAGGTTGCCCCCCTGTTATTTGTGTATGTACCAAGCCTCCTTGGAACAGAAAGGGTAGATCCACTTAGAGGAATAGATTGTAGAGGGTCTAAATCATCATCACCAGATGATGCTACAGACCCTCTACTGTATGAACTTAATTGGTCTCGATCATGACTGTAAGATGAACTGACACTTCTAGAGGCAGTTGGGGACATCGATTTCCTGCCAAATCTTGCCTCCCTTCCATTTCTAGATGCAGGTGAGGAACCCCTCACATACGATGCTGGTCGATCACCCAGAGATGTACGAAGATTAGGTGGTGCATCTAAGGAGAAACCGGGGATATTTGACTGCCAAGCCCTTGTTTTTGGTGATGTAGAGTTTCCCCTACTTGTCCTTACAGGAGATGCTCCCCTTCTCCCCGTGCTTGTAATTTGTGGAGTAGGTGTGGAAGACCTTTGGGCGGGTGTTGAACTTCTACTAGGGGAAGGAGATGGTCTTCGAGTTGGAGTAGGTTGCCTTATTGGACTGGACTGAGGTGCTGAAGATGGCCTTCCTCTAGACTGGAGTGTGCTACTCGTAGACCGAGGTGATGGACTTAAACGATTTGGACTTGCACTGCCCCTACTGCTTCTGTAACTCTTGTCCATCTGCAATATTTTCATAGAAGTCAAATGGTGAAGATTTAGAAAGAATAAGATCAGACTTTCAAGAGAAACTTATAATGAAATGTCGAAGAACTATTTCATCAACACACATATTTTCATTCCATAAGAGTGATATGATAACCTACTGTGGATGATCTTGATATGGAAATGGGTTGAGTCCGAGGTCTACCCCTGCGAGGAATGTTAGCTGGAGGTGGCTCATCATCCAACAAAGGAAAAAGGGGGGTGTCAGGTGGAGTTAATAACCTTCAAAATCACCAAGAATGACACTTAGTGAGGACCAAAAATCTTCAAGTTTGGATAATAGCACAATAGCTTGCAATTAATGAAATAAAAAAAATGGCTGTCCCTTTTTCCCATAAGTATGGGGTAAGGGAGAGGTAAGATAGTAGGCTACCCCCAACATCAAGTTGAGAGCAGCTTCCGTAAGAGACCTCCGAATTATGAAATGCCCTCCGTGGGACTCGATCCCACGACCTCAAAGTTAAGAACTTTGTGCTCTACCAACTGAGCTGGATGGTCATTTCTACAATTAATGAAATAAAAATGAAAAAATAATACTAATTTCTTGCTGAGGCCATCGGCAATTACTTAATTCTAACATACACCAAAACAATAACAAGCCAACTTACATGCGGATTATATTACTATTTTCCAAACCAAAAAGTTCATCATATCACAGTTCTAAACAAAACGTTAAAAAATCTCAAAGATGAAATTATGACCTACCATTCATAGTCATTTTTCTCTTCATCTGCATCAAGGAGTTCACTAGTCTCCCCTCGAACAGGAACAGATACTCCAAGTTTGAAATCTGAAAAATATTTCAGTTTTGTAGCTGCAAACAATATTTCAAAACCAAAGAAAACAAAAAATAACGTTAGCTTGCAGACTATAGTTTTGATCCACGGGCAAATATGTCCATACAACTGAAATCAAAAGGCAAAACAGAAAATTACAAAATGAATCTTCCATGTCAAACGAGGACTGAAGCAAAAAATTATCCCTTTCTTTGGACTGCATTTCATTGAACAAAGCAAGGTCATCATCTTTTTCATGTACATTCAACCCGCCCTCCAAACTACACCATCTTTTGTGGGTTCCCCCTCTAAGCTCCCTCCCTGGAGAGTTTCTCAATGCAGGAGAAGGAGGCATCTCTGCTGCCCTAATCTACCCTACTGAAAGAATCACAGCAATTCCTCCACCAATCTAGTAATTAACCAGTAATCGCGCCCCATAATTTACTCCCAACTCACCCTTTCCGTGTTTCTTCCAAGTAACAAATGCAGTCAACTTTAAAATAACTCAAACAAGGGTGCAATGCCCGCATTGGAATAGAATGATTGACAGAAAATCAGCAGCAGTAACTGAACAATAACCACGAATTTGAGATGGAAAATAGCCACCAAACTGGGGTGCTCATTTGGAACCCTAGATATCCATCAAAATTAACTGTAAAATACCTACATTGACCAAAACCAAAGCCAAAGTCAAAATTTTCAGCCACCAGTAACCTCCAAGCAGAACATTTCCAGCGCCGCTCAAAATTAGTGACGAAGTCAATTTACCTGTAGACACAATTTTATCCGTATCATTTGAAAATGATGTCAGTAATGAGGCTAGAGTGAATTAGAATTTTATTTTCGTTGAAAATCCATTTCTGCTCTCGAATTTTGGTCTTGGAAAGTGAGATCTGAATATTAGAGTTGAAACTTATAATGAGAGTTTTTTTTTTTGTGCGCGTGTGTTTGGGGGAGGGGGGATTTGAAGCTAAAAATAGAGAACCCGAAAACTTAGATCAAGAAATTAAGGTTGGGATAAAAGCGGAATAAAAACGAGGAACCGATTCGCTCTTGATGAATTTATGATAACCCGTTGATTTAAACAAATCAAAAGAATTGACAAGACCAACATTAACAAACCCAGAAAATGTCGCAATTCTCCGGGAAATCACAAGAACAAACCATGAGTTTTTTTACTGTTTCATTTTCTTTCTTCCAAAAAATCAACAGAGAAAATGAGCGGAATAAAAGCAGATAATCATCGGCAAAGGAGAGAAAAAAATCAAACATTTTCTGTCAGTAGGTTGGGCTGTTTTAGGAATTTCAAGGATTCTTAGGTTCGGGTTGATGTTTTCAAAATCAAAACGGGTTAATACCTTGAGGACGACCGGAAGACAGTTCATCTTAAATCCAGTGACAATCTAACGGCAGAATGTGGCAGTTTAAAGTGTTAGTAACAGCAGGTCTCAGGCTTAGATTTAGATATTTCGGTGTTGACTTTGAGAAAATTAAGCTGGTTTCTGGGTTTAGAAGCTAAGAAGGAATATTCTTGTCAAATTTGTGAAGTTACTAGATTTACGTACAGCCGTGAACGGTGGCTGCCACGACGGCATAAACTACAGTGGTACAAGAAACTATGGGTAATAAGATTTTTGTTTTTTGGTTCCAAGGTAACAGATAATTTATTTAACAAAATAAAAAATGTAATTTAAAGCTGCAGAAGTCGGGTTGCGCAGGGTCCGCGCAAGGACCAATTCGTTTACCCGACCCGATCGCTTCATCCTCTTTTTCTTTTCTTTTTTTAATATTTTTAAATTGATCGTAATTTTGTAAATGTTTTTTTTTTCTATTTTAGGTTAATCGCATCTAATCCGCTCTTAGTACATCTTATGTCGGGATATTTAAAATGTATTAACTTCCAAAGTTGCATAAAAATTATCATTTTAATTTTTATTATTCTTATAAAAATATTTTAATTTTTAAATAAAAATCGTTTGCTAATTAACAATTAATGTATATTATTGATATATCATTTTTATATGTGATACGTCAATGATATTTTACATTTTTTAAAAAAAATCATTTTTTTTGTAATATTAACAAAATTAGTTGGGAAGGACTAATGCACCTTTTGGACACGGTGCACGAATTGTTTTTACGATAAATTCGTCAATGATATTATATTTTTATTTTGATCGTTAATCGTTTTATAAAATAAATTAATAAAGATAGTATTATCTGATTTAATAATAATTTTAAATTTAAATTTATATATTTATATTATTTTAGGCTTAATGCCTAAGTAAGTGTCAAACTATATCTTTTGTGTCGAACAGGTGCCTATATTATTTTTTGGCTCATCCAGGTACCTAATGTTACAAACGTTATTCTTTTAGGTGCCCGGACCGTTAACGGTGTTAGTTTTCTCCGTTAAGTGACATATGTCATAATCTGATAATTTTGAAAATTTTATATAAAATTAAAAAAATAAAATTATATATTTTTAGAAAATAAAACACATAAATCATTTCAATCCCTAAATCCACGCCGCCCTTTGTCGTCGAATAAGCTCCACCCGACCTTCCCTCCTCCCGGCGACCAAAATCCTTATGAAATTGTGACCGGTTGACAATCGATCGACGATAAATCGATATTTTATACATCGCAAACCTTATGATAAAAATCGTGATCCAACGCAATTACAAGGGTGCATCGGCGACAACTAAGGCGGCATGTAACTAGGATGATGGCAATGACTATGTTGACGGACACTTAAAAGGGTAACATTTGTAATATTAAACACCTGAATATGCCATAAATAATATAGGCATCTATTCGGCATAAAATATATAGTTTGGGCACTTATTTAGGTATTAAGCCTTATTTTTCTCATTATTTTTATTTTTTAAAACTCTATTTTCTTAACTAACTAAACCCGTAAAACAACAATTGTTCCGATGCCATTTTCCACATCCAAACAAACCATCCCAAATAAAAAAAAAATACTAAATCTATGTACTATTTGAATTTCAATTCAACAAGAAAAGAATAAAAAAATGTTAATAATTATTTTGGATTTTTTTTAAATATTTTAATTTCTAACGTCTTATTTTAGGATGGAAGATCTTTAATATATTAAATAATTATTTTAACTTTTATGATTTTTTTGAATATTTTGATTTGTAACATTTCATTTTAAAATTTAAAAACTCTATTTGAGCATTAATAGTTTGTTAATAACAGTTTACATTCATTGATAGATCTTTTAACCTAAAATAAAATAACAAGGATCAGAATATATAAATTAAAATAATTATTTAATTAAATATTAAAAATATTTCTTGTTATTATACGAAAAAATAACAATTCATATATGTGTGTTAATGAGACATCACATTCACATCCATATATAAAAATTCCTTATATCAAAGATTGAACTTGTCAAAGATAACCTTTTATCCCCAACTCCAAAATATATATATGGGATAAGATTCAATTCCAGAGGGTAAAATTAGAAAGTTTTATGTCTTTTTAGGATCGTTGGATGAGAAGAAACCAAATACTGAGATTAACAATAATAAATGAGAGGATATTCGCTAAAAAACAAAGAATAATCTAAGCCTTTGATTTCTCCCCATTCAATCATCATAAAAAAATGTAAAAGCATTAAGTGGTCTTATATATATATATTAGGGTAAACTACTTGAATGACCATTTAACTACGAGGTTAGTGTTGAAGTGATAACCATTTTAAAATTTCGTCAATATGATCACTTATGACTTAACTAATTAATTGAGTTCAATATAACCACTTGTCGTTAAGAAGTCGTGCCAGATAATAAAATTATTAAAATTATACAGTTGGTCCTCAATGCTTACATATTTTATCAATTTAGTCCTATTTTAATTTAAATTCAAAAAAAAATTGATCCTCTAATCAGAATATGCCACATGTCAACCAATTATTGAGATAAATTTTAATAGTGACATCAATCAGGAGGTGACATGTGTCATCATATGTTTAAAGAGAAAACAAGCATAAGTAAATATTAATACTCGGGGGAATTGATCTTATGACTTAGGATTAAAGCTAGGCATGCCTTAACCACCAAGGCAAATAACAATCCAACAGTTTGATATTAGATTGGAAAAAATTATATATATATATTTTTTTAAATTATATATAAAAAAGGAAATAATAAAATTATAATAAATAAATTATATTCCATATACAAATAAATTAAATTGTTTTTTCTTATTTTAAATGATGAGTGAATAACAATCATTGTAAAAAAAAGAAAAAAGAATATATAATTTAAACTCATTTAAAAATAATTATGAAAATTTATTTAAAAATACAAAAATTGTAAACTCATTTTTATTTTTAAATCTTGCATTAACTATTAATTTATTTATTAGAATATTATTTAGGTGATCATTCAAGTAGTTTATCTTATAATTTAGAATTTTTTTATGTATAATCTAAAACAAGATATATAAGTTTTGACAAATTAATAACAAACATTTTGTTTGCCTTAGTAGTTGAGGTGTGCCCACTCTTAATCCTATGATGGCTTGTATTATTTTACTTATGCTTGTTTTCCTTTAAACATGTGGTGACACATGTCACCACCTAATTCGTGAGAAAATTATTTAATTAAAATAATAAAATTAAAAAAACTGCAATCAAGTTTATAACATATGTCACATCATTTTTTAATTATATTAAAATTATGACTAAATTGATAGAATATGTAAGCACTAAAGATCAACTGTATAATTATAACAATTTTATTAATTGTCACATCATCACTAATGTTCAATGTTAACGACATGTGGTTATATTGAACTCAATTAATTAGCTAAGTGGTCATATTGATAAAATTTTAAAAATAGTAGTCATTTCTACATCAACCTCATAATTAAGTGATCGTTCAAGTACTTCACCCATGATATTACAATATATAGAAAATGAGAGGAGATTGGTTATCCATAAAGCCAAAATACGACAAATAATGTAATAATTAAGTAAAAGCCAAGCCGGTAGGACAAATCTTAGATGCCTTTGTCTTCCAATCATCGACCTCATCTATTCCAAATTGTTTTTTTTAATATTAAAATGTCCTTTATTTTATTTTATTAGGGTTAAAATATTAACAATACAACTGAAATTTGGGTAAAAGTGTCCAGATAACGCTATATATGGAGTGTTTAATTTTTAAAGTAACGTGTTCATCCAATTAATTCCTCAAATGGAGTGTTTTCTACAGTAAATTTGAGATTTATTGGCGTTTTCAGGGTTGAACCAGATTTTTTTGGTGCTTTGCTTGGGATATCCCGGCTTCTTCAGGCGTCTTGTTTGGGATCTCCAGGCGTCTTGAGGGTGTTGTATTGTTTATGGGGATCTCCATGCGTCTTTAAGTTATCAAGAAAAAATTTGGCCTTTTTACATAAATATGACCTTAACATAAATTAATTACTTGCTAGGTACTGTTTAAGAATATTTTACGGATCTAGTAAAATTTTAAAAATACCATTTTAAATAATATGAAAAGTTTTGATATTTTATAAATTTATTTAATTATAAAATATTTTAAAAAATATTATTTTAAAATATAATACAAGACATACACATCTTTTAGGATGGACTTATAAACTTCGATCTTACAACGTACGAGATTCATGATAAATTACATATATGTAAATATATGTTAACTATTTTTTATTTAATTTTAACTTAAGTTGTATATAATTTTGAGATATTTTTTCTTTTTTCCTAGACACCCACAAAATAATAGCACGACAATAACGATTTAATGATTTATAAATATTAAATTAAATTGAAATTTAATATTAAGTTGTACAAAACTAAAAACTTATATATTTTTTTCATACATTATACTAAAGTTCCAGTATATTTTTGACCGATACTTTTTGGTGTTAAAATATTATTGTAAAAAGAAGAGGGAATGGGCTACAATGGAAACATCATTAAGTGGTGTGCCATTGATATTTTAGGTGAATTATATACTGAGTAAACTTAAATACGCCAAAAAAATCTGGTTCAACCCTGAAGACGCCGAGAGATCTCAAATCTACTGTAGAAAACACCCCACTTGAGGAATTAATCGGATGAGCACGTTAGTTTGGGAATTAAACACTCCCTGTAGCGTTATATGGGTACTTTTGCCCTGAAATTTGTCACCTTTAAAGAAGTCGAACTTTAATTTTTTTAATAGAAAAACTTTATTCTTTAATTCATACTTGATTTAAAATAATTTTAATTCAATTGGGTTAATAATTATCCTAATCGAATATTTTAGTTTATAATTAGTTTGTGTATTAAAATTAGATCTTTAAACAATTATCTCGATTGAATATTGTAATTTACAATTATCCTAATTGAATTAAGATAAGTTCATTTTAATTTTTTTAAAATTAACCAATTTAAAATTATAATTTTCCTAAAACTTAATCCATTAGGAAAATAAATTATAATTGTGCAAACTAATTTAATTGAATTGGATATTTTATTTTATAAATATTCGTACATTAAAATTAGACATTTTAAAATAGTTACCCTAATGGAATATTTTAGTTTATGAGAATATAAGTATCCTAATTGAATATTTTATTTTATAATTTTATTGTATAAACTAATT